TGAAATAAAATCCAATAACAAGATGAAGTGCTGGTGAGAACGTGAAGAAATATGACTCTCACTTCTGAGGGACCACATGTGTCACACTCACTACAGTGAAAGACATGCTGGCATTGTCAACTCGGAGGGTGGTGTCGCCCAACACTCCACTTGTGGGACAGCAAGGAAATGATGCTTATACAAGGTGCACAGGAGAGTGTGGGCAGGTATCTGAGTTTTCGGCCTGGTTTATATGAACTTCGCTCTGTGGTAAATCACTGGCCTGAACTTGTAGCATATACCCTCTGGATGGTTGTTATTTTCATCTATAACTGGATCAAGTAAAAACAAACAATTTACAAACATCTGCACTTTATTAACAGGAAGAAATGACTGGTGCCCTCCCTTGTTTGCCCCAACAGGCACCCTCTGGTCCTCTGAAACAACTGGCTGTCCAGAGGATACTCTAAGGAAGGGGTGACACTGTCTTCCAGCGTAGCCCCACTCCAAGAGGCCACAGCAGTGACACCTAAAGACAAGGATCTCTTTCCGGATGAGGGTGGCTGTGCACTGGACACGCTGCCGAGCAAAGCCACAGCACGACATTGACTGCCTCTGAGCGAGAAGTCCCCGGCACCAGTGTGTATCAGACCCTGGCTGGGCCTGGCCAGCAGCAGGGCTGGCCCTCAGGATGTATTTGTTGAACTAAAACCATGTGGAATAATCAAACCCAGACTAGATAAATGCGGCTGTGTTTTGTTTCCCCATGTTTTAAACTGGAGGCACCACAGAGATTAGACACTCTCTGTTTGATGGGTGGGAAAACAGAGGCTCGTGAAGGGCAGGGTGACTCAGCTCAGCTCACAAAGGAAGTCAGTAATGGGACCCAGCTTGCGTTTTGACTTTCGGGTGTGTGTGTGTGTGTGTGTGTGTGTGTGTGTGTGTGTGTGTGTGTGTGTTTTGGTGGGGTGGGGAGCAGGGACGTCAGAAAGCAGGAATGATCCACTGTTGAGCATTTCCATGATGTGTGTGCTACTTTGTGCCTGTGTCCCACCCCACCCCTCTTCCACATACACAGTGGCACTTGGGAGTGGGAGTGTAGCAGGGGAGGCCTAGAGATACAGGTGGGCTTGGTTATTTCAGGTGGGTCTCTGGGCCCATTTCCCTAGTGCCCTTCGCAGGGCAGGTTAGGTGCCTGCCTTATACCAGGCTGCCCTAGGGGCTCCACAGGGAAGCCCATGACATCTGGAGACAGGATGCATGCTGTTGTTGTTCTAGCTGTCGGAGGTAGACTGTACAGTCCGTAAAATTCACCCTTTTAAGTGCACACTTGGACAGGTTTCAATGAAGTCATGAAGTTGCCCAACCACCAACACAGTTGGGTTCTAGAACACTTCTCCAGGGTCCCTTCACACCATTTGTAGCCAATTGTTGCTTCTCTCCTCAGCCCAGGCAACTACTGAACTGCTGTTTTGTCTTTATAATTTTGTCTTTATAGAAATTGTATCTTAAATGAACTGTTAAGATACACAGTTTGTTCTATCTGGCTTGTTGCACCCAGCTGAATGATTTCAAGGTTTGTTCAAACAGTAGCATATATCTGTACTTCCTTCTTGTTCACTGTTGAGTAATATTTCATTGGATAAATATCCCACCTTTGTTTATTCCCAAGTTGTAGGACCAGTCTGTACCCATTTTGGACCATTAGAAATAATGCTGCCATGAATGTTTGTATACAAATTGTTGGGAGGACATATGATTCTCTTGACTTGAGTACCTACCCAGAAGCAGAATCCAAGGTTATAGTGAAAGTGAAAGTTTAACCTTTTAAGAGACTGCTAACCTGCTTGGAAAATGCATGCTAAGCTCACAACAACCTACCGACAAAGATGCTTCCGGAAGTCACTCTGTTTACATGTATAACACAGTAATTAAGAGTAAAAATTCAGTAATTGACATTGAAGCACAGGCGGGCAAGCCACTGCCTGCAATGCTGGTACCCATAAGGGCACTAGTTTGAGTCCCAGATGCTCCGTTTTTTGTCCAGAGCCCTGCTAGTGTCCTGGAAAAGGAGCAGAGATCGGCCCAAGTGCTTGGGTCCCTGCCAGCCATGTAAGAGATCCAGATGGAATTCCTGTCTTCTGGCTTCAACCTGGTCCAGCCATAGCCCAGTCTCAACTGCCACAACCATTAGAAAAAACACTGGGCATGAACCAGAGGATGAAAGACCTCTTTCTGTCTCTCTCTCATTACTCAGCATTTAAAATAAACAGATTTTTTTTTAAAGTAGAAAATTCTGGATTCAGACCCTCTGGGTCTAAATTGTACTTTATTTTCTTTAATTTAAACATTTTTTTTTATTGGAAAGGCAGATCTACAGAGAGAAGGAGATAGAAAAATCATCCATCCACTGATCCATTGCCCAACCAGCTGTAATGGTCAGAGCTGAGCCAATCCAAAGGCAGAAACCAGGAGCTTCCTCTGGGTGTCCCATGTGAGTGCAGCATCCCAAGGCTTTTGGCCATCCCTTTACTACTTTCCCAGACCACTAACAGGGAGCTGGATGGGAAGTGGAACAGCCAGAACACAAAGCGACGCCCATATGAGATCCCAGTGCTTGAAAGGCAAGGATCTGGGCATTGAGCCATTGCACCAGGGTCCCAAATTATACTTTCACCACTGAGGTTTGCATGTTCTTGGACAAATGACCTTGTACCTCAGTTTTTCATCTGTAAAAGGAGATGACTGTTGCAGTTGACATGAAGAATGAGTGAGTTGCTTCACACGAGACACTCAGAACATGACTGATTCACATAAGAGCTATGAAGCCTATTTTTTTAATAGCCAGTTGAGCAATGGTCCCATGGGAGAGACAGCACCAGGGCTGGAGACCACAGATGGAGGAGGCCTGTCTTGGACCTGCCCTGTCACAAATCTTGTGCTCTCTCTGCCTCTTCTGGAAGAGGCAATCAAACTTACTGGGTAGATGATCTGATGTTTTGGGACAGGTGAAGTACTTTGTAGGCAGCACAATGTCATGCACACATAGGGGACCCATGCCACGATGGCGACACGCTGTGGATGGGGTTTCTTGATGACTACAAGGGCACCTATACCCTTCTCCAGCTAGGGAAGTCCCTCTCCCTGAAGACCAGGATGCTTAAAAGCAAAGACTTAGGAATCAGACAAGCTGCCTCAGATCCTACCCATCATGGCGGAGGCTTGCAACACAGACCTCAGTTTCCCTGCCTGACATGAGAACAGTCCTGCTGGAGTGATTGTGAGGGTTGCATGAATGAGATCTGAACATACTCACACATCAACCTGAACTTGAGGAGCATGTCCAAGGCGACAGGCATATTGAACTGCATACAGCACTTGGCTGGTGGTAGGCTAGCTCATATTCCTACCAATTCTCTCCAGATTCTCCAAGGAACTCCAACTAACCCATCCACAGCAAGTGGCCCTCCCTGGGCTCTGCTCCATTCCCCAAATGGCTTCCTGGCCCTCTCCTTTTATGCTATGGAGGGGAACAGGACTTCCTCCATCTTGGAGACAACAACTCTGACCTGACCTTGACGGCTGCCAGTACAGGAGGAGGAAGAATTGCCTGAGCTCCCTGCCCCGGGGCCCTTCCTCCTTTGGGGGAAGTGGCTGCTGCCGCCAGTTCACAAAACATATTTGAACACCTCGGCTGGAAAGTTGGCAGGAACCTCTATCACATGCAAAATTGCAATGCTCCAACATAGGTTGTGGTGCTGAGAAACCAAAACCATGCTCCAGTTGCCCTTTGGTCTGCAAGAAGCGCCAAGCAAGGCATTCTGGCAGAAAAATCTATCATTGCATCTGGGCCTGACTCCCCAAGGGACAACTGCCCAGCTCTCTTGGACTGCTCCAAGCACACAAAGAGTTAACAAAGGCCACACTCACTCAACCCCCGTTTCTTTCAGGAGACTAAAGGTTGTTTCCCAGACCTCCCATTCCCTCACCAGATTGAAACTGTGGACTAATGCCCTGAATCCAAAAGGAGTCAGAGGTTAGAGGTCAGAGCTGTGTTCTCCTGCAAAGTTGCATTGGAAAACCGCTGAGCAAGGAGACGTCTGGAGACCCGCTTTAAGGCCTGGCTCTTGGACCTGCCAACTTCCTAAGCCTGTCTCAGACTCCCTGTAGCAATACTGTCTGCATTGCTTTGCAGCATACATACATTGCAAGGGTCAAGCACTCATTTCTACAACATTGCTCTTGGCACATACCAAACACATCCTCTCCCCCAGGATCCCTGGCAGATAAGATCAAGTTATTCTCTACTCGGAGGAGGAAACTAAGGCACAGTCAGTTCATTGCCCACGATCACACAGCCAAACCACAACTCACACTCTTAACCCAAACCCGTTGGAACTCAAACGCCACTCTAAGCCATCCAAACTCCTCCTAAGAGAGTTCCTGAGAACAGAGGGGTCCACATTCCCTGGCTCTTTCCAGCACTCTGGCACCTCAGCCTATGATGGGTGGGACTCCCTAGCCAACTCGGAGCTAACTTAAGTCAAAGAGAGATTAGGGTTCGTTATTTCTGGCACTCGGCAGAGGTGCCAGGTGATCCAGCTATGGCCACGTTGCCGCTGCCGTCGCACCTGTGTAGGAAGGACCAGCGTGGTGCTTCCAGGGAGGCAGCTGGTGCGCACAACCGTGGTCGGGGCTCTGGGCGCGCCAGGATAACTGTCGCTGGTACAGGCGCGCCGCTTCCCAGTTCCCAAAGTTTGAGCAGCCGCGCCCAACTGGGACACCTCGGACGCCCGGGTGGTTCTACACCAATCCCGCTCTGTCCAGGGACCCGATTCGCTGCTGGAAGTCCCGCACTGCCCGTAGAAAGCCGGGGCAGGACCGCCAGCTCGCGCGGAGAGGCGAGGACTCCCTTTTATGTCCAGGAATGAAGCGCGCACCGCAGCCGCGCCTGCCGCTCAGAACTCACTTCAGGGGCGCGGAGACAGCAGCCGATGCGGTCCACAAGCTGGATCACTTACCTGTGGCTGCGCGAGTCTGGGTGACAGCGGAGAGGAGCGCGGAGAACCGTAGCAGCCACAGCAGGCGCCAGCCCTGCCCGTTCTTCCTGCAAGAAGTGGCCGAGGGAGAGAAAGTGAGGCGACCAGGAAGATCCGAGGAGCTCAGGGAATAGGGTAGCGGATCTTACCTTGGCGCCATCTCGCGGGTCTGCGGGGGTCCCGAGCTCCGCGGAGGCCAAGGGGCGCTGAGCTCTGGGCTCTGTCAGCAGCGCTCGTCCTTTCTGCAAGGAACAAAGGCCGCCCTCGTTAGTGGAGGCAGCAGTGGTGAAGACCGGCAAGGTCCCGGTTCCTGGCCCGCGCCCTGAGTCGCCCGCGCCTTGAGTCACTTGTGCTCTGAAACCCGACTCCTCCGCGCCCTGCGCTCGCCTGTGCGCTGCGCCCCTCCTCGGGCAGCAGCGGCGCACGCTCCGGCCAGGGAGTCCCGCCACGCCGGCCTCTTCCCCACGCCCCTTCCCCCTCTGCTGCAGTCGCGCGCTCTTCCCTCGTGGCCTCCACCCCAGACAACCCGAAAGTAGCGTGCCCGCACCCAAGTGGTTCTGAGCACACGGACACGGCCGCCTCCAGCGCGGCCCCAGTCCGTCTGGCTGCCTCCTCCTTTCCCCACCCTCCCCCAGGGAGTCCTTTCCAACAGCCCAGGGGTCTGGGATGCCTATGATTTCCTTATATGACAGACCAGGAGACTGAGGCTCCAAAAGGAGGAGCAAGTGTCACGCAGCTGGACTGAACCTCCACAAGCTCCACTCAGCACGCGTGGTGGTTCGTGCCCCACTCGAAGGCGCGGGAGTGGGCGCATTTGGGCAGGCTATGGTTCTCCCCTTCTAGTGTCTCAGGCGTCCCTCTCTAACTTGCCTGTTCCTTTGGACATAGGGTGAACTCCAGGAGGACACGAGTTCTCTGGTTTGTTCCTTGCCTGACACAGTTCAGGTAGGACACGTGGATGATGTGCATTGCATGAAGAGTCCCCCGCAAGCCCTGGGCTAGGGTGAGAGAGTAGAGGAACTTGTACTGGCCTCATAAGAACCGGGATGTAGGGTAGCATAGCCTGTCGCACAGAGTTTAGCGAAAAGCACTGGGTGAACCTCAAGAGCTGTTGTTTTGTTGTTTAGATTGCAGGAATTGTGGTGCAGTGAATTTAACTGCTCCTTGGGACATTGGGGTCCCACATCAAGGGGCCCGGGTGCATGTTTGGCCTCTGTTGTTGGTTCAGCTATTGCACACCCTGGGAAGCATCCAAATGATGGCCAGAGGACTTGGGTCCCTGCCATCCATGTGGGAGACCCAAATGGAGTTCTTGGCTTCTAGCTTTGATGCAGTCAAATGTTGCTGGCATTTGGGGAGTGAACCAACGGATGGAAAAAATCTCTCTTTCTCGCTCTCAAATAAATAAATAAAAATGAATAAATACAATTTTGAATGTTATCATGTGAGATTTTGGGGGTTAGAACAGGCACCACTGATGATGGCTTTGACCCAGCCCGTTCTGAGGCCAGGCTAACCCAGGAGTGTTTTCTCTCAGTACCCTAATTGCATGGTCAGTTGCTGGGCCTCACTTGGCACTACGGTGCCATAGTGGGCAGGTCATCCCACCTGTCAAGTGAAGACGACATTTAAGTTTGCCCTGCAGAGATGGCATGACAATGGAGATGGCAACTGACACGAATTGAACGCAGATTTTATCTCAGGCTCTGTGTTCGATGCTCTGCCTGTGTTCTCTCATGGAGTCCCACAACAACCCTTGGAAAGGGTGTTGTAGTGACCCTCCACCCAGTAATTCATAAATGAATAAGCCCAGGCTAAGGCGTAGGGTCCCAGCACACGTGTTCTTTAGTATTTAGCTACATTGCCTGTTTGTGAACAAAAGAATTAGACCTGCTCCCTACTCCTGTGGGTTAAAATGCATGGGACACACAGTACTCCCATGAAAGCAATGAAGCCAGCCCAGGCAGTGAAAGCTCAGAGGAGGGACTGGTGGCCTGGTGATCAGGAACTTTAGCTCCAGTCTAGCTCTGGTGGCAGAGTGAGTTGGACAAATCCTGCTCCAGATCTGGCTTTAAAAAAAGAAAAAAAGATTTATTTATTTTTATTGGAAAGGCAGATATACAGAGAGGAGGAGAGATAGAGAGGAAGTGACCGCAACGGCTGGAACTGAGCCAATCCAAAGCCAGGAGCCAGGAGCTCTTCCGGGTCTCCTATGCTGGTGCAGGATCCCAAGGTCTTGGGCTGTCCTCAACTGCTGTCCCAGGCCACAAACAGGAAGCTGGATGGGAAGCAGGGCCCCTGGGATTAGAACCGGTTTTAATATGGGATCCTAGCACGTGCAAGGCAAAGACTTTAACCACTATACCATCACACCAGGCCCTAGAGCTGACTTGCATCCCTCTGTGTTATGGATACAATGATTCTGATCTGAATGGTGATGGCTCTTGCTAAGGCAACTGGTACCCTGCAGGGTGCTGTCCATTGGAAAGTGCTGTGTGGGTGTGAAGGATGGAGGCTACAACTCATGCACCAGTCCTAGAGAAGTCAGGAGACACTTTCTGGAGGCTGTGGGGTCAGTGGTGAAGAAAAGCAAGGCAGTACACACAAGGATATTTGTGAAGGCACTACTCACCTGGGCTGGAAGGGTACAGGTGCTGTAGCATTGAGACCTTCCATGGCAGGCTGATCAGTGGGGTGGGTGCCTGTGGCCTCAAAGGCAATGTGAGATCGTGAACCATTTGGAATCCTAGAAACTTGCTCTAGCCACTTTCCCACATCCCTGGAGACAGAGAAACAGAGGTCTGTGTAAGGCATGCAATATACCAACTCATCCACCTAGTGAGTGACAGATTCCTGGAGGATACTCATGAAAGAACAGAACAATCTCCCCACTCTGTAGAATACACATGCAGCCATTCCGTGACTGGATAATCTTACTTTATTATGACACACTAACCACAAGGAACCCACTTTCTCAGTTCTCGATGTCTCTATTGCTTGTAAAATGCCGCACCAACTGGGAAGATAATTGCTTTTTCCTAGAATTATATTTCTATACTGCATTTTAGAAAGCCACATCAACCACCGCTACATAGAAGTTCCAGGACTCAGTTTGACGGTTAAAACCAGAAATGGTAATCTGGTGGTGGCTCTGGACTTTTGAGTTTTGTTTGGCCTGCAGGGTGTCAACCTCCCAATTAAATTAGTTAGCAATGCTTTATAATTAGGAAGTTAGCTTCTTTTTAAACACTAGGGAAGCTTGACTATGTAAGGCCTCCCTTCCCTGTGCCAACAGTGGATTCGAATTAAAGAGACACTAGTGCCTTCATTGAGATGATATTCTCCAGTTTGCCACTCTCCCCTGTGATCCTCAACACCAAGGCTAAATCTCCACCACTGCTGTTTATCACTATACTTTTTCACTCTACCTTTGCTTGTAAGAATAAGTGGCACAGATTGACTGTTCATGTTGCTGTTGGAAGCAAGTCAACAGAAGAGAGAGAAGACTGTGTTTTAAGAACGATGGGAAAACATATGTTTATGCATTTAATAAACAATGTCTGCACTGACAAAAACAGAACAAAATTAAGACATCGTTATGAAACACATTCAGCCAAGCTCATTGTGTGTGTTAGCTGAAGGACAAAGCCATAGCTGTGTTGTAACTGGGGGCTTGCCTGTGGTCCAGTTTGTCGAGTCTAATACACCTCTGCACCAGGCAGAAGATTCCTGTCCTGCCCTTGCAGCGGAAGCCTGCATGTATGATCCATGTCTGATAGGTTCTGTGTAAGTACCTGACAACACCAAGTTCACCAGGCTCTAAAATGTAAGGTCCCACGGTCTATTTCTCCCAACAAATAACTGGAAATAGATACACACCCACATTATTGGTTTTGTACCTACTCCACCTGGCAAGCCAGTCCATGTTCCTAAGCGTGAAGAGCCCTCCTTTTAGAGTTTGGCCTGGAGGTAAAAATTATAAACTTAAACTGATTGAGGACAGGGAGAGCCCTGGCTTGGGAGCCAAATGGTTCCAGCTGTGGGTGTGGGAGGGATGGGGCAGGAAGCCAAGGAAGGCATTTCGCCTCCTGCCAGACAGTGTTTTGTGGGCTTCAGCGATTTCCTTCCATTCAACATGAAGTTGTTGAAATAGCCAAGAGGAAGCTCCATGTCAGACTTCTGTTGGTCTGAATTGTTTGCCTTGGTCAGTACGATCTGCGAGACTGGGGCATATAGGGACTGGGGATCTTATATCCCTGCTCTTCCACAGCTCTGCTAGATGAACAGGCTGTTTCATTTTCCTATAATCCATCCAAATATTCCAAAAAGCTTAGTATCCAGGAGCCTTCTCCAAACTGTCTGAAGCACCCAGAAAGGGCACAGAAATCTTCCAGAAACATCTCAAGCTCTGGGTTTGGGAAGAAGTTAGCAAAGCTAGGGAATCTCATTCCAAATCCAAGCTCTCTCGCCATCTGCCCATTATATGCACCTTGCAGAGTCCTGGTGCTCAGGAGGCTCTCAAAGCTTGCATCATAGTCATCTGATTGAATGCATAGAAAAAGCAGAAAGTACATAGCAAGTCCACCAGAAAAGAATCACCAAAGAAGACAACTGCCTTTTGGAGAAACCGTGACAGCTAAAACCCACAACTGCCTTCCAAGCAGGAACATGAATGCCTGGATGTGTCAGGACCAGACTAAGAAGAGGCAATTTTTTCACTGATGGACAATGACAGATTTCACAATTGGCAAACTGGGAGGGAAGGGAGCAAGAAAACACAAGAGGAAGAGTGGATCCAACCCATCCTATGGATCTGTCTGTGGACCCATCCTATGGACCTGTGGGTCCCTGTCCTTGTCATGGATGTGCACAGTGGTTATCTCCCAGCTGCCAGCACCCCTTTAGTTTAGCACCTTCTACAAACATGGCTGCTGGAGTCAGCTCTTCATGCAAGTCCAGTAGCTGTGAGTGCCAGGGAATCAATGGTGCCTCCTGACTTTGTGATGCTTTCCACCAATAGCTGGTGGACCACACCTCAGCTCCATTGAGCAGCCAGGTACCTAGGAGTCCCCAGCAGAGCATGGTGGGCTCACACCTTCTTGGATACCTCATTTTGGCACTTCCCTTACAGTGTTAACCAAGGAGACTGAGTAAATGAAC